GACTACTACTTTTTTGTGTGTGCTCTAAAGCAGGTTCTGATTTCTCTAACTGGAAACTGGTTTGCACGGATAGATACAAATCGTTTGAACAGAATGGGTTACCAATAAAAGAATCTAAAAGGAATGTCCCTGATATATTCAAGGGTTTCATGAAACCATTGACCAAAGTCTGGGTAGAAAGGAAAGGACTTAATAGCCGATTAGCTTAAAACCTTTCAGGAAAACAACTTTGTCAAGTCCAGTAGCTTTTATATCTCTTTCCAATAGTGATGGCGGTTTCCTTCCTAACCTTTTGTCTGAAGTCGTGTGGAATATCAGCATAGTGATTGTGTCATTACTTTTCTCTTCGGGTTACATGTGCAATCCATTTTCGTTGTTGCTGTTGCTGGGAGTCCTCAAGTGATACGGTCTCTGTTATTTGATATAGTTCTTTGTGATTGTGTAGGGCCAGTCCAACAATGTTAAAAGAGGAAATGTCTTTAGCATGGCCCTCAGGTTTAACTTACTCAAAGACCTTTTTCCCATTGACCTTAGGAAGCGCTCGTTTCTAGCTGAGAGTTAAGATACATAGACATGCCTGGATGGGATTGGTAACCCACTCTGTTCAAACGATTTGTATCTATCCGTGCAAACCAGTTTCCAGTTAAAAAATTTAGAAGCTACTTTAGAGCACACACAAAAAAGTAGTAGTAAAATTCGTCCGGGATTTTCAGATTCAAACGGAAGAGCCACGTTAACAGAAACGCAGTTTCGTTATTCTTTTAACCATGTAAAAAAAATGCAATGTCTTTTAAAATTATTTTGTTTTATGGAGTTGAAGTTATTATTAACAAAGTAGTAGACTAAGAATTAAAAGTCCGACAAAATTCATTTCACTTTTAAAAACTGAATTAAATGTTATCATACTTTTAATTCTTAGTCTATTTTGCTTAATAAAACTTCAACTATCTAAACAAAAAAAATAAAACATTGCATTGTTTTACTACCATGAAAACTTGTAAATTGAAAAATTGAAAAAAAAAATGCCCATATTTGGACTTTAAATAAAGTTTCTACACTTAAAAATATATATTGGTTTTTAATTTTATTTTAAATTTCCATTCGATATTTCTGTAAAAAATGCTTGTGATATCCTTAAAGCATTGGAATTATTTCAATTTATTTATCTATCTATTTTATAATTTATGAAAAGTAACGATTTTATATCCATATGATGAGATAAAAAAACAATTGGTTCACTTATTTAATTTTTTTTCACTAACAGTTCACAGACATGAAAAATCAAAATCAAAGAACTTATGCCAAAGTCTGGACTTCCCACAAAGATGTGAAAAAACTGGATTCACTAAATTCACTTAATCCAACCCCACATCAAGCCCTTTAAAAATGTTCAAATTTTTTCATACCCTTTATTCACGTCTTGTAAGTAAGGTTTACCCTCATCAGCTGACAGCGCGTTTTGGAGACAATTTTTGAGCCAGCCATATCAAAGTCAAATTGGCTTCATTTGAACCCGAGCTTCTTCCGTATCGCTGCTATTTTTTTTATTTTTTTTCCAAAATTATTGAAATTATGCTATTGTTTTTTTCTTTTCTTTTCTGAAAACTCATCGCGAACTAAAAATGTCGCCCGGGACGGACCTCCACCCCCCCTCTCTTCCTAGCTACACCACTGATGTGAATTCCGTTTGTCGGGACTTCGGACAATAACACTAAAATAAATGTCAGTGTCGTTTCTAATAAAATACCAATGCAAATAAGATGTTGTGGTTCCAATTTAAAGAAATATCGTTATCAAAACTTGTTAAAAAAAAAAAAAAAGAGTTCGCTCCCGTGTTATTTCTACTGTGAATTATGGCAATTTTGAAACACAAGTGCCGCTTTACGAAAGCCATCGTCCATGACGATAAGCAGGAAACATCTGTAGAGTCTACTTGACAAATAATGCATGTGTCGTGACTATTAAGAAAACTCGCTGTTCTTTGAATAACAGGACACATTGATTTTTTTTCTCCAGTTTTTTCTGGAAGTCTGTTAAGTGAAACCTAAGGAAAAGTAAAGTTATTGTGCCTATGACATCGACAGAGTTTTTTTTTTTTTTTTTTTTTTTTTTTTTTTTTTTTTTAACAATCAGAGGTTTCCTGCGATATTCTTAACGAGCAGTAACCATGAAAATTTCACTGTTTTCTTCTTTTCATTTTCCGGCAAGTCATAATTTTTAAGTTAATGATTGAATAATCTCTTTGTGAATTCCATGACTAAAAAACGCCCGTGGGACTAGAAAAAAAAGCCCGTCGGAATTACCCTATGCCATCGTTAATTGTTTGAGCTTGAAAATGTTGCAAAATATTGAAATAACAAACATGACTGAAGGTTACTACTTTTCTATTTCAATGAAGCAGGCGTTAAAAACACGAAATCCTTATCTTCTCTCTTTCTTTTTTTCTTTCTTCCATTCTTTTTCTTGCTGAAATCAAACAGCGCCTCTGATATGTCTTTGACATCTTTCCTAGCGATCAAAACGGAATAGTCCTTTATTTATGAAGTATTGACAGGGCGTCACGTACTCGCTAACTAAGGAACGAAGGAGCAAAAAGAATTAATAATATGGTACATCAGTGTTCTTTTTAATCATTCCTAATGTTCATTTTTATTACTGGAATAAATGTTTGGCTTTTCATCGGATCGGAAGGCCATATCGTTGAATATGCACATTATGACACCGAATCTGACGAGGGCACACCATTATTATTATTATTATTGTTATTATTATTATTATTATTATTATTATTATTACTACAGTGTAACCCGGATATAAGAGACCCGGATATAAGAGAAACCCGGATATAAGAGAAACCCGAATATAAGAGAGATTTTCTCTGGTCTCAAATTAGAGCCTGTGTTAATGTATATAAAACAGACTAAACCCGGATATAAGAGAAACCCGGATATAAGAGACTTCTCCGGTCCCGACAACTCTCTTATATCCGGGTTACACTGTATTATTATTATTATTATTATTATTATTATTATTATTCATGGGATATCATTGCAAAAACATATGCCGTAATCAAAAGAAACTTCTAAGAAATAAATATGTAAGTGAAAGATTTGGCTTATTTTTATCTTACAAACACACACACACACACACACACACATATACACACACACATATACACACACACACGAAACGGGAGTGCTTTGCTACGATGTGAGTCACAAAGCGTGTTTTTATATATATATATATATATATATATATATGTATATATATATATATAAAACAATAATAATAATATATATTAATCAGTTTACCCCAAGAATAACGATATTGCAACTAAGATGCAAGGCGGGCTTTTAGGAGTGAAAGAGAATGAGGCGACTTTAGAAGGGACGGGAAACGAGAGATAAACATTTGCACTTGTTCAAAAGACAGGGAAGGAGTGTGAACCGGACGACAGGTGAACGAAAATGGATATTGTTTTTAGTCAGACATTATTTCTTATTACTATAAATGTTATTTGTTAGAGGGTACACGTGTTTGCATTGCCATCACTACTTTATAACCCCTTTAATGCTGAAATTAATAAGAAGCCTGGATCGAATAGTCAAAGAAAAGAAAAATGCTACACTCGATAGAAATCAAACCTGTATCCCTTACTCCACAGCATATTTCCATATCAGATGCCTACAGTCGAAGCGTGCCTTTATCAATGGGACCACAGGAGGCCATCTTGATAAAGCGATCTTCAATTACCTATTTAAGGAAACGCCCATGTCTCGTTGGGATTTATACGAATCTAGATCTGCTAGCTACAATTTCGTACATGAAATGTAAACAAAGCAATTTATAAATGGATTTTTTAATCCGACATTATATATATATATATATATATATATATATATATATTATAAGTATTTTTTTAAAAATATGATTCCTTCGCTACATAAGATTTCTCATGTTTCAAAAACGAGAGCCGATATTTTCGAAACTTAAAAATTTAGAAATTCCTAAATTTTCGCTTGAGGATGAAACAGGGTTTGATACTTTAACTCAATTTAATTTTAATAATTATATTAAGGTTTTCGGCTCTCGTTTTAGAAACATGAGAAATCTTATGTAACGAAGGAATCATATTTTTAAAAAAAAATGATTATAATTTAAGCTTTACTTCTGTATGGAGCACTGTTTTTTAAAAATAAAAATACTAAAGAACTCTGGATTATTTACCTAACGTGTTCTTTCCTATTTTTTCACACACACACACACACACATATATATATATATATATATATATATATATATATATATATATATATATATATATAATAAAAGGTTAATGGTCAGTTAATCGCCTGAAGATACCGAAAGGTTGAAACCAAGATAACGGAATCGGCTAATCTCCTAATTTTCTTTTACTATATATATATATATATATATATATATATATATATATATATATATATATATATATATATATATTCTGTCTGTGGGATTATCGTTTTTTTGTTGCAGGTACTATTTGAACAATTAAAGTCGATAATGAAAGAGTTTTTGGAAGTCGGAGAGCCGAGTTCCAATTCCAGTCGGGTTTGTCATATTCACTAATGCACAAATATCCTTGGAAAAGTTATGAATCCACTTCTTCTCTCATCTATGGATTAATTAGTCGGACTTGTATCATTAAATAATTATTATCTACAAAAAATTCTTATAATTAAAAAAAAATATTTGCTGGCTTCAAATAACCTGAAAATGGTTGATAAATCGTAAAAAAAGAAATCAATCAAACAATCGATATAGTGAGACATAAAGTCGTATTTTTAAAAATCCATTAATTGCTTAAAATACGTATGTTTTCATTTTTTCTATATACAGATTTTATGATCCCTATAAGTTTTATTTCTATTTTATAATTTCATTTTCAATACAAGGATGAAAAAGAAAATTATATTAATACTTTTATTTAAATCTGTTGTAACTCAAATATGCTTTGGCCGCATCACGTTGAAACAGCAGTTCCTGTACGATTTCAGAAGTTAAGCAATGTCAAGCCTAGTCAGTACCTCGATGGGTGACCGCTAAGGAATACGAGGTTCTGTAAGCTTGGATGTGCAGGTGGCTCGGAATTGTTAATCGAAAAGCCGAGTTCCAAATCCCGTCGGGTTCGTTATATGCACTTACGCACAAATACCATTAGGAAATGTATGGGTGCACATCTTCTCCCCCGAGCTATGGGTTAATTAGTAAGATTTATATCAATAAAATCATTAATATATCCCCCAAAATTCTTATAATCTCAAAATATTTTCTGGCTTTAAATAACCGACAAAGGGTTGATAATCCATACAAAACGAACCAATCAATCATTAACTCAAATAAATTTTCTGTCAGAATTTCTGGGAGGGGGAGTTATCATTATTTACATTATTTACGCGCGGACTATTATCCTCATTCTTGTTGTTCTTATCACAACGTTTCGGCCGTTGTGCCCTCTGGCCTTCATCATGTGTATATCGATCTGGGTAACCTACAGCGAACTCCAAATCGAAACCATTATTTAACTTAGCAGAGTAAACTGTTCTCGTTCCATTGCCCAAGTTTCGGGATATTTAGTACTGCTCAGTTCTTGCTCGCTTTGTTTCCATTGAGTCCAAGGACACACTGCCCAACCCAGGGATTGAACTCAGAACTCACAAAACTCACGAACCAAAGCTAGGCTATTGTCCCGTATGTAATAAAGCATTAAAAGGCTAAATATAGATAGATATAGACAGTGTGGAATGGGAATCCTCATTGCACGGTGACTGTCAGTTTCACGGCTCAGTGCAATCTTCAGACCTTGTTGATTCTCATGTCCCCACTGACTCTACCTATAAATGCACGGCCGACGCGTCTTGCCCCCGAAATCCCCCGACCGTGGGTGGGAGCACGTGTTTTGGGCCCCCGCTGTATTTTCTGCCATTTTTCATTCAGCACTCTTTTATGTCCATCCACCATGTTTTTAATTATTTTTAAACTGGCGTTACATTGTCAGTCATCAACTAATAAAATGCATCGCATATCTTCATGGCCTGTGCGGTACGAATTACGCGGGAACCCCCGACGAGTCATAAAAGAATTAGTTTCAGTAGCGTTTTTTTTTTTTTTTTTTTTTTGTACTTTTTACTTTTCCTACCAAAATTATATTGTCAATCATCAATTATAATAATCGACATAGCTGGAGCTTATTACCCCGAACCTTTCAACCGCGTGGGGGCCCCCATGTCCACTGGAATACTGTTTTTAAAACAAATTTTTAAGACAATCCCGTTTATGTTGGGTTGGAATCTTTGTAAAACTTCTTTTTTTTTTCAGCGAAGATGCATCGGCGATTAATCTTTATGGAAATGTAAAAATTTGAAACTTTTTTATCATTTTATCAGAATTTAAAATAAATGACCTATTCATTATAAAAATAAATAATTAATGAATATGTACTGAAATTTTCATTTAAATTGGATCATTTCTGGAAATTTGAAGAAAACGCTGCCCTCCCTTCCTCGCCAATTTTCCTGTGAGGGTTTGTGGCCACCAGGTTGTGAAACTTTGAAATCGACATGTAATAGAGATTGGGCGGGGCGTATCAAAGTTTCGGGCGGTGGGGTGAGACCCTAGCGCCGGCCCTGTATAAATGCTTTCGGATATTGAGAACTCTTCCCCTATAAATATAGTAAATTTTAAAAATTCACCACCAAAATATTAATTCACCCCAAAATATAAAGAATTTATATTTACTAAAATTCACATCAAATTTCAGAAATGTTCTTTAAAATTTGTTCAAAAATGCATTCATTTTTATTTTTTACCTTACGTCTCCAACTTTGACGCAAACATAAATAACTAATATGATTTTATGGTCGGGAAGTCGTAACCCTTGGAACCAATTTCCTTTCATTAGAGTGACTTCTCTTCACGACATTCACTGAGACAGCAGCGCCATCTATCCTGACAGTCTGTTAAGCTCAAACACATATCATGTCCTTTAAGAGAAGTGGTCCCCGCAATCACCAGGCAGCGGAATGGTACAGGGCCGTGAATCATTTGGTACTTGGCCCCATTGAAAAAATAAATTTTTTTGTTTTTCATTTTATTGGCTATCGTGGTATTTTTTAAATTGTTTTGTTATGCGCGTGACCGACTACGACGCCCACCCACACAAGGCCGTGGAAAAATGTCTTGTAGAACACCGATCCGTGACTGAAATAGTTTGGGAACCGCTACTTCAGAGCATTTCATCGACATAGGAAGAATATTTACTCTCTGTAATAAGCGAACACCACTTTCCTTGCCGTTGTATTTGTTATTACCTACAGCAACTTCCTGGCAAGCTAAACAAATTTTGATTTAAAATGTATAATTTCAAAAAAAGTGTCAAAAATTTAATAAAGAAACAAACTTTGATTTGAAATTTATAATTTCTTATTAATATTTACGATAAGTAACTTTACATTATTTGGGGTGAATTAACAGAAAAAGTTTAAAAATATATAAATTTTTAGAATATTTTTCTGTCGAATAAAGAGTGATCAGAAAATTCGTGCACGCAGAAGTTGTCTCTCGGTGGCCATCCGTTCACAGCAAATCAGAAAAATTTGAAAACGGTAAATGTCTTCGACCGGAATTTCACAAAGAACAGACAGAGGCGTCAAACTTCATCACAAAAATCTCTAGAAAGATGTAAACATTTCATGTTTCTTCATTGCTTAACCTATCTAATCACAATAGAATATGACGCTATCAATTCTTCGATAATCATTCTTTCTTCACTCTTGGTTATTTGCTCTTGTGCTTACGTCAACTCCAGACAGCTCCTTTACCATCACAATTATAACTACCCTCTACCCTGCTACCACGTACACATAAAAAAAAAAAACAATACGGAATCGTTTCAAGTTAAATCCGAAGTATGACAAAGACAAGAGAATTGGACTTCTGCTGTTCCGGAAATGATGCCATTAATGTAATTTCAATTCTTTTTTTTATTTTCCCCCAATCAGGAAGCGACTCATCTTGACTGAATTGTGTCTGCAAAGAATCTACTTAGTCAATTAATGATTTTAGACGAATTCGTTGATGCTTTTTTGTTTTATCCTTATTATCTTTTATTAGTCATGCCTTTGCGCGTTCTAAACAGACGCCTGATGGTTATCGCTAGGGATATCGAGTCTCCCCAAATTCCCGAGTACCTTCCTAAGTATCCTCGTAGGCACCCTCTCCAAACCAACAACACGGAGGTCTGGACAGCCATAATTCGTTCTTGATTTTCCAATTCATCCCAGTGTTTTAGAACGATTCAGTATGCACCCGTCGTTATTCACCACATTCTAATCTTCAGGTTCCACATTCTTTACTCCCGAGCAAATTGATGCCATTTTTTCCAATTATTTTCTTTCTTTTCTGCCTTCATCATATGGACTGCTTTCATTTTCCCCAACTATCTAGCAGGTCCTCGGCCTTTTATTTAGGACTATAAGATCCAGTCTTCTGGATTTGGTTGTCGTTTTGAACCTCAAAGTCCCAGATTCGTTCAATTTATTTTATTATGACAGCTTCTGGTTTGTGTTAATACCGTTTGTTCACATGCTCGAACGCAATTCCTTTGCACAGTTCTTACTATCTGACTGTTCCTACACTGTCCAATCTGTATTAGTATTTCTTTTAATTCATTATTCTGATGTATTCGTTGAGTTTTCACACATATCCAGTGACTTTCCCTGCAGATCAAGGGACAGTAAGTTATTTTTAAGACCCGATATTCTTGCTGTAGTCGCCTGGATCCTACTGAGTCTTGTTGGAAAGACTGAATTCTTGCTCGAATATTATCTTGTACAGTTTTTCTCAGTGGATGTCACTGACCATTTTCGAGTAGAATTTGTTCATTCTTAAGCAAGTCTTTCTCCGAATGCCAAATTGATGTTTCTCCTGGTTTTATATCCCAAATGAAATTTTATACAAAAAGAGTGAACCCATTTTCAAAGACAAAAAGAGGTTATAATAAACGAATCAATTTGAAAATTTAAATCCAACAAGACTTTCAACTTTTCCTCACGTTTCTAATTCTTCCATCAGCTTTGTTAGGTTCTTCACAACTGTTTCAGGTGTGCTGATAACTGTTGGCACTACTGTCACTTTAACGTACCATATTGTTTTTTTTTTTCAGTTTTTTCTCGCAATTTTCACACATTTTTTCCAATTTTTCACATACTTTAGATTTTACTGTCTCTCCTACATTCACAATAGTATCCATAACCCGGAAAATCTTTCTTTGTTTACGATGACTACATCTGGTCTCCTAACTTTTTTTTTCTTCATTTATTTTACTAAAGTTCACTCAATACAATGCCCAAGAGCCACTCAAGGTAGAGTTTTACTGAATGTAGTGTGCAGTATGGAAGTAAAAGGGGGAAAACGTGTTAGATCCTCGCTGAGTGCCCGACACTTGTGGATTTGGGCCAGATTAATCCAAGATTGTCGATAAGCGTCTACATCATAAATAATTCTTTTAAATATAATTTTTATTTTTGTGTATTTGAAAAATGCATTTTGGTCAGTACCTAATTTACTAGTTGTTTGCGCAATATATGATATTACAAATAGAATTTATTAAGTAAATACAATCAAACTGTTCTTTACTTCAAGAATTCCAATTAATAAAACAATTAATGATTACTGTTGAATTTTCGCCTCAGGATACGAAGGATTTGGTTTATTTTGTTTTCCGGCATATTAACCCCAATGAGTTTATTTAATGCCGACAAAATTTTCATTGCTGGTAATATTTTGTTTTGTCAAAAATCTATTTCTGGTAATAATTTCTTTTTTCAAAAATGTGTTGCTGTAATAATTTTTTTCAAAAAACTATTTCTGGTAATAATTTTTTTTCTTCAAAACTGTATAGCTGGTAATAGTTTTTTTTTTTTTTTTCTTCAAAAATTTATTGCTGGAAATAATATTTTTACAAAGTATTTCTGGTATTAAAACCTGTTTTTACACTTTCATGGTGTTTTTACCCCAGTTTCGGGGTTAACTATTTGCCCATAGCTGGGACCCTAACAGGTATTA